TCTTTCAACATCCCGCGAAATTCAATATCTTAGATCGAAATATAGACATCAGCTGTGATAATGTTACCGATTTAACATTCAGTGCATCTTTCAATTTATTTATAATGTTTCAAATTTGATCAAGTTTACGTAGAAAATCTTTAGTCAATACTTAAGTGTTTAGCTTTATGTTACACATGTGTTGTCATTCAGTTTGAATTCTGATCTCGTTTGCAGATCGCTGCATTGTGATAAATGACAGTAGCGTATTTGAATGGAATAAAGCAACAATAATCGTTGCTTTCCAGCAGGTATTTGCATGATTATTGTTGGTCGTTTGAATGTAAATTCACTTATTTGAATTCATCATTCTTGAATTTCTTATTTCTATTCACTCACATTAGTTCTGAGGTTTGTTGAACGTTGAGATCAAGACAAAATTCACTTGATTATCCCAGGCCGCTCCTCTTCTGATTGTTGTTTCACATAATTTATGAAAAAAGAAGGAAGAACGACAAAAAAAATTCCCATCGGACTGACAAAATTGAGATAATTCTTTTATTGACTTTCGTGTGAGCTCGTCGTTTTTTATCAACAATCAGCAATCGAAAAATAAAACAAAAACAACAATCAGTGAATCTAAGGGTGAGTGAGTATATCGAAAATTATATAGCCGTGCGTGTCTGATGGCGATAAGACAACATTATAATGCTTAAGGATTATCGAAAATTAAAGCAAGCGACATTAAAAATCATTGCTTATTGTTGTGAAAATCAACAAAAAATGATCACAATGTATTTTGATATGGTAGTTTTAATCATTCTAAATTAAATTCTTATTCTTATTTACCAGCAGCTTTCAAAATTGTATGCGAATAAAAATGTTTAGCTGTTAAAATTTCAAATATTGATGACCAAATACCTTCTTAAAAACTTTTAGATCTTTTTTCTTTCGGTTGAAAGTTAAAACAAAAATCAATTCCCAATTTTATTCTTTTTTGTAAGTGACCACTTTTAAAGATGCATTTGACGTGCACGCAAAGGCTCTGTTTAATTTTATCATTCCATTTAGTGTTGCAATCGTCTTGCAACCACCAACCGATGTTTAATGAATTTAACGAGTATTACACGAAGACGTGGAGTGCTAAAGAGGAGATGTAGGAAATAATTTCTTTGTCTAACATTAAATACAGTCATTTAACAAGCTGATAAGCTGCCTCATTTAGTTGCAAATCAGCGGAATAAAGCTTAAAGCTAAATTATAATGCAATGTTATTGGTTATTTGGAGATTATTTTGAAGTGTAGCCACACTTTATTTAGGATAACTCTTCTTCCAATGGACCAGTTCATTAAATATCTTCTTTTTAAACTGTTTCATGTTTCACTTTGCGACACTTTATTCAAGCTTTACCTTATGTCTTCAGATTAATATCTAATTGAATAATAACATAAAATTAGGTATTTTAACTTATAAAATTTGATATATTTGCATAAATACAATTTTATATGTCAAAGTTTTATTTTTGGGTGTATAGTTTCTTGGGCATTAAATTAATATTTATGGCTTTGAGAACAATCGCATGTTCTCTAAACAACTAATTTTCTTTTATTTGGGGGAGTCACATTCTAAGTATATGTACATATCAACTTTTTATAGAACTTTTATTCTGTTTTAATTGTGAAACTGTTAAAAAACCTGTGACAGTTTTCTCTTTGCTGTAACAGCTTAAAACTTGTTTGCTTGAAGGTTAAACCAACAAACAATTAAGAAGAATCAAAGCTAACAAAAATATATACATACACATAATATATTAGATATAATAAAACAGTGATCGCTATGTATTGCAGTAAAGAATAAATATGAGAGAATGAAGCCACCCTGTGAGTGCAAATTATTTGAATTTGTCTGGATGAATAAAAAAATCTAAGGTCAAATGTTACATTGCTTTTTTTCTTTCTTTTAATGCGTATTCCTACCTTCATTGAATGATAATTTATGTAAGAAAATGTTCGCGGGAAAGAAACAAAATGTGATGATAATTTATGCATGACACAGCTTTTTGAGATTTTTGTTGCTTTTGGTTGGCTAATAAATAGCGAAAATAAGACATGCTTTTGGACAGATAAGCCTTATTCTATAAAGATCATCATCATCATAAAATTTAGGAAAATTTGAATAATGAAAACAGAATTTATTTTTATATTTTTATTGATGAAAGTCAAATTTTTTTTTATTAAACAATTATCAATGATTTCATACTTATTTCTAGCTTATTTATTACTTAAGTATTTCCAAATAGACTTAAATTCTTATAATGAGTACATCCGTAAACGATTTCTTCTTTAAATTTGAAGATAAAGACGTTGATATGGAAACGAAGCTACTTAAGAATCGTAAATATTATAAATAAAGTGGAAACCAAAGTCGAATCATCAAAAAAGGATCTCTTTACAATATTTAAATAATAAATAAACAACATTCTTTTTAAGGTTCGATGATGTCCTTGATAGAATTTTTCATAAGAAATTCTTACAAAGTGTAAAAATCTAATTTCAAATGTATCAACATTTAATTTAGATATGAAATAATTTTGTTAATATCGATATTTATAGTGAATTTCTGTTTTTCACAAACATCTTTAGAGGAAGAAACAATTTCTACCCATAAAACATAAACAAAAATAGAATACGATTTAATTTTAATTCCTTTTTAATAACAACGTAAATTACTTGAAAACTGGTGTTGAGTGAAGTAGATTCAAAATAATCGTCAATAAGTTCCATATGAGAGTGTCATGAATAAAGTTATTTCATTAGGAACACGTAGAAACCAGATTTTAATGTGGAAACTTTTGATGAATGTAACTATATTAGGTATTAAGAGTTTTAAGCTTCACCACTGTGCATAGTCAACATCAATTCCTTATTGTGTTCATTCAGACAAAATTCTACTGTTGAATCAATCATAATATAACATTAAACAATATAATTTGTGACTTCAGTTACTTATTAAAATATACGCACTGGTTAATTAAATTGCAGCATATTCTATCATTACTTCTATGACTTTAAGGTAAGTTACTTTTTAAATAATTAAAACTGTGTGAAAGACTTGAGTTTCATATGATTATAAACATATGGTCGTTTGACCACTTGTTGAACGAATGAAATTTTTTTAATAATGAACGAAACGAAGGCCAATGATCTTCTAAAGAAAGAAGAATTGACTCTCCGTTTCTATATTTTCTCCGTTTCTATATGTAGATATATAAAATCGACTATCATTAAGGTTACGAAGGCAAACCTTGAGTAAAGCGCATTTATTTAATAATGCATAATTCTTTAAACTTGACAATTGCATCAATAATTTGCTGTTTTGTAAATATCTAACCTTTTATTTATTATTTATATTAAATTTAATGTTTCTATTTTACCAAGAATCGAACGTTTCATGATTAGCTAAGCTTTTAAAATGTTTCAAATCATTTTATTATTTAGGTT